GTTCCAAGTTAAATATTCTTATATATTTAATGAATTTTTCAATACAAATACATACTCTAGATAAAAGCTACTGGGTTCACGGAAACCATAGCTATTGAACCGGATCCGCCCCCGGGGATGGTGATGCCAGTTCATCATTTCTGGAATGAGGCAAATTTGATTGGTTATTCGATCTTTAAGATTCTGTTTATTTTATTTTTAAAATTTGCGTTGCAATTTAATATTTGTTGAAATTTTTGTGAGTTGTCACATAAAAACTTGTGTTTCACATCAGAAATATTGGGTTCAGATAAATTTAGTGACGAATCTACCCCTGATTAGTCACACATGACCTCTGGACTTTAAGTGTATTTGATATCAGAGTAACTTGGACATCAAAATTTCAGACACCAACATAACTTAATTCTTGTAAAACCACTACAAAGCCTAAAAAAGGTCAATTGATGTGGCTCTTTACAAATTTATTTTTAGTTTTATGACCTTATCTTTTTTTTTTATACATGAGAGATTTACTTTTACACGTAAGAAATTTGTCTTTTACACATAAGAAATCTAAAAAGGTCATTTTTTTAATTTTAAAACTATAAAGGGCCCTGATGTACCAATGTGACAAAACGAGTGTGGTTCTTTTTCTATATACTTTCCTATAAAGTTCATCTAATTCTTATGGTGAATTAGCATTATAATTTGTATCTGTCTTTTCAGGAAAAGAAACAGCAAAGAAGGTCATAGATTACTCTATCTTCCAATTTGCTCATATATGATCTATTCCTCTCAACAATTCTTTTCATTTTAACCTTTTTCAGGTAATGATTTGTAAAGAAATTAAATGCCTCGACCCACTAATAAAAGACCCCTTTACCTTTTTTTCCTAAGTTTACTTGGCTCCAAATCTCTACTTTTGATATTCTTGACGAAAGGTTAATTTAGTTTTAATAACTTAATGGCTTTGCCTCAAATCATGTAAACGAATTAAAAACATAAACATATTAAAGTACTATTTACTATATAAATAAATGCAGATAATATATTTTGAACTCAATAAATTAAATGGGGAACTAGACTGAGTTTTCTCGAGACATTACATCACATAAGATGCCCCAAATTAAAGATTTTCATGATTATGAACTACCCCCACTATACTGTATACTGGGGTTTCCTGCAGGGTCCAGGTGAGAGGTGTGTTTAATGAGTCAAAAAGTTTGGAAGCAATTGCTTTTGCTTAATAAACTACTTTCTCTCAAGTTTCTCCAAGTTTAAATAATAAAGTTGTTTCTATGATCCAGTTCGAGCAGTAAAATTAACCATTATGTACGTTAGGGTAAATATTTTTTTTTTTTGATTTTCCACCCGGTGTTCAGTACCCACATTGGGGCCCGATTAAATTCAGATTCGCGCCAGGAAGTCTCAAATTGGGGGTAAAATGCTCCCTAACAAAGGCGACTCCATACACAGGGACTCGAACCCGAGACCTCTGGTTAATGATGAAGGAGTACTTACCACTCAACCACAACCCTTGTTGGTAATAAACAACTTACATCACATCCCTTAGATATGGTCCTTGTCAAATCCTGCGTGAGCGCGAAATATTTCGTGTACAAAAGTGCCTCGCTAGCTAGTCAAGTGTTCCTTGAAAAGATGAGCTACAAGTGACTTGAGTTAGAGCGGCCGTGTATAGTGAATTTACTGGTGTGACTGTAGAGAGCTAATATTATTGCGTTAACAAAAAAGCCATCTTAATTACTCTGTAGTTGTTATTATTATTGATTAAAACAAATCTTACATTCAAACTGCACCAGAATTATCCCTGCATGTCCTAATTAGTTTCATTATTTAACATTCTAATCGTTTATATGCCTATATGGCATTGTTTTGTGAATCAGAAAAAGGTTGTTGACCGACAAAGAGAATTAGAGTTACCAACTCTTTTCCTTTTTCGTTTTCCTTATTTTTTCTGATAAATAATAATATATGCCAAATAACTGATACTTGAGATTATATATTTGACCAATTTAGTGCACATAATGATTAGGAGTTGCCCAAAACGTGGTGCCATTAATTTAAAGAACCCATGCATGCACTGCAGAAAAATACTATTTTAATATTTTACTTGAACATAGATTTAGGAGCATCTTCAACTTCGAGATAAAACATGATGTAACTCTGCATGTAATTTAATTTCTTAAAACAATTAAGAAAAAAATTTGCTGGCTTCAGTAAAATAGGTTTTATAGTACATTGGACAGCTCAGTGTGCAATCGCCTTTTATATCGATTCGAGATTCAAAGGCTGACTATGTTTCGCTTTGTTTATGCATGTGAGTTACTATAAACAATAAGTTCTCACGTACATGAATTATCATTAATTTGTTTAATCTTTCCCTTAATATCGACCTTTTAGATTGTCAAATATCTATGGCATTGGAGTTGTCAACGTATCTAGGGCATCCTGTATCCAAACTCATTAATCTGATTAATCTAGGTTTGTGCCGTGTAGTTCTACTAAGTAATAAAAATTACTCCTTACCATGAAATATTTCGTTTTCGAAATTCAATTTACACATTTGATTAAAGGTAGAGTGATCTCAAGCATTTATCTCGCTACTACACTCCTTGATGGTATAGCACGAAGAGCTAAGCCGCTATTGTCGTGGTGAAGGTTATATATACCTCATAAAATCAGCGAAACTAATATTTTTTTATATGTTAATCCTTTTGATCGGGCGAAAACTTACGAGGAAGGCCTTCATTGAGTTAATTGTCGGAAAAGCTTGAGTTATGTTACTTTTTGCTTTTGGAAAAATATTGTGGATATTTAAATTAAAATGTATTTTTAAGATCAATCCGTTGGGTTTCACTTCTGGAAAAAAGTTTGAAGTATTTTCCTTAACCAAAAGGGCACAAAATTTTCAACCCCATGTTCTACATCTTGACTTATTACCTAGGTAAATTGTTACAATGATTAAGGAGAATAAACTTCTTTGATAGTGAACCATGATAAATTAAGTTGAGCTATAGACTATAGATATATGATAAGGTAAAACTGACGTTGGGAATAGAAGCTAGGGGAGATATGATCATATGACTAAAATATACTACTTTACTCAAATGATGATGGATGATATATATTTCAAATAGTGTGCATCACGTGATAGAGAGACAGGTGAGAAATGGAAAATAATTACTATAATTATGCTGTTTTGGGTCTCTGTTGTTTGGTAAAAAGAGAAGAAAGAGG